CATGTGAAATCAATGATATTGTTCTGTAGTTTCTACACTCTGTTGGGTCACCCTTCTTTAGAATAGCTGGGACTATTTCTGTTCCATTGGTCTATGTGCCTGTCATTGTACCAGTTTTGATTACTACTGCTGTGTAGTAGGTTTTGAAGTCAAGGAGTGCTATGCCTTCCACTTCATTTTTGTTTCTCAGAAGTGTTTTGCTTATTTGGAGTCTCTTGTCTCTCCAGATAAACGTGACAATTTCCCTTTGGATCCCCTGGAAAAACAAATTTGGTATCTGTATTGGAACAGCACAACACATCTTTTAATTGATTGATTGATTGATTCATTCATTCATTCATCCATTGTTACACATTTTCTACCCCCTTCTTGTGCTTCCTACAGCCTTTCCCACAATGAATCCCTTGTTCTAGACTATTCTAATACATACAATGCACGTTGTGTTGTTGTTGTTGTTAGGTGCTGTCTAGTCAAAGACAACTCATAGTGACCCCATGAAAGACCTGAACTCCTGTATAACTTTTATCATTTATCCACGTTCGTAGAGTTTACAGAAGTAAGCTATTTCGGAGGTGGATGCTACTCCTGCTTCCAAGCTTGTTTTAATCGGGGAGCTCCACCAAACACTGTACACCATGGGTAACCATTATCGCTTTGATACATCAGTGTCACAGTGTTTAGCATCACAGCAAACTCGAGTTATCTCTGTATGGCAAATGGATAGACCAGTGCAATACTACTCAGAAGAATATTTGACCAAAAACAATTAAAATCAGGCCCGAGGACCGCAGATTAATATCAACCATCATCACTTTCTATCCACTAGGTCAAAAGACACTCTCTAGGTGATGCTTGTTGTTGTTGTTATGTGCTGTTGTGTCGTAGACTATTCATAGTGACCACAGATGTGCAAAACAGTTCTTTCCTTCATCTGTTCCAATGCAGTGTTCATTATCTAACCACTCTTCCTTACTCCCTCTCCAACCTCCCCATCTCTGTTCTATTTTACAACAGCAGTGCTATGCATTATTTATGCTTTTGTGACTGAAATATATTAACATATCATTTAGCATAATGTACTCAAGGCTCCCCCATGTTGTGGAATGTTTTATTATTCAATTCTTTTTCAATGCTGTATAGTATTCCACTGTGTGGATGTACCATAGTTTTTCCTATCCATTCATTTCTTGATGGGCACTTGGGTTGTTTCTATCTTTTTTGCTATTGTGAATAATGCAGCAGTAAACATGGTTGCGCATATATCTGTGTGAGTTGTGACTCTGTTTTCTTTAAGGTATATTCCTAGCAGTAGAATTGCTGAGTCAAATGGTATTTCTATTTTCAACTTTCTGGGAAAGTGCCAGACTTCCTTCCATAGTGGTAGTACCATTTTACATTCCCATAAGCAGTAAAAAGAGTTCCCATTTTCCCCACAACATCACTAGGTTATTTGCTGCCCTGTTGAACTTTGTTACTGTTGCTGGGGTAAAATGGTATCTCATAGTTGTTTTTATTTGAATCTCCCTGATATCTAGGGATTTGGAACATTTCTTTATGTGTTTGTCATCTGAATGTCCTCTTTGGTGAATTATCTATTCACATCCTGTTACCATTTTGTGACTGGATCATTTATTTTTTTCTTGTTGAGGTTCTGGAGTATTCAATACATTTTAGATAAAAGCCCCTTATCAAGTATGTCATTGTCAAATTTTTCCCCCCAGTATACTGCTTTCCTTTTTTACCCTATTGGGAGTTTTTTTATGTGCATAAGGATTTGATTCTTAGAAGGTTCCATTCATCTACTTTATTCTCTTATGGTTATAGGTATTTCATGATGCTTGGAAGACTTCATTTCATGGATTAGGGATTTTAGAGTTCTTCCTAGCTTTTCATTGATTAATTTTATAGTCTTGGTTTTATTTCCAGGTACCTGATCTACCTTGGTTTTTGTGTATGGTGTAAGGCATGGGTCTTGCTTAAGTATTCTGAACATGGTTTCCAATTATGCCAACACTATCTGCTAAAGAGACTGTCCTTTTCCCACTTAACTTATTCCATCTCCTTGCCAAAGATCAGATGACAATAGGTGGAAGACTTGCATTCTGGGTTCTCAATTCTATTCCACTGATCTATGTGTCTGTTGTTGTACCAGTACCATGCTATCCTGACCACCACAGCTGTGTAGCAGGATCTGAGATCAGGGAGTGTGATGTCACCTACCTTGTTTCTCTTTTTCAGTAGTGCTTTGCTTATTTGGGGTCTCTTTCCATTCCAGATTGAATTGGAAATTGTCTTTTCCATCTTGTTGAAAAATGGAATTGGTTTGTTTTGGAACTACACTGAATTTGCAAATTGCCTTAGGTAGAATTGTCCTTTTTCATGATACTGAGTCTTACGTATCCATGAACATGGTATTTTTTTTGTATTTCTACAGTTCTCTTTTTGGTTTTTTTTTTGTAGTAATGTGTTGAAAGTTCCTGTGTATAGGTCTTTTATGTCTCTAGTTAAACTTGCTTCCAAATATTTCTTTCCGTGATAAGCTATTTTAATTGGTACTGTTTTTCTTAGCTCCATTTCTACATTTTCTTTGTCACTGTAGAGAAATCCAACTAACTTTTGTATGTTGATCTTGTACCTGCTACTTTACTGAATTGGTCAACTATGTGCAGTAGTTTCCTTGCTGAATCTTTAGGATTTTCTAAGTATACAACCATTATCATCTGCATATATAGTTTTATCTACTCTTTGCCAATGTGTCTACCTCTTATTTACTTGTGTTGTCTATGTATGGATTTCTTGACTTCTACTACCATGGAGGTTGATGGTGGATTCAAGCAAAATTAAAATATTGACAACTTCAATTTTTCTCCAACTATCATAATAATGCCTATTGCTCCAGTAGAGAGGGGATTTTATTTTTTTGATGCTGAATGTATTCTATAATGAATGCTTTTATATTACTCAGTAAGTGTTTCAGGTTCTCTTCACTTTGAGCAAGCAAGATTGTGTCATCTGCGTAACATAGGTTGTTGATGAATCTTCTTTCACTTCTATTACATTCTTCTTCACAAAGTTGAGCTTCTCACATTATTTGCTTAGCAAACAAACTGAAAGGACATATCCTTGACACACATATTTTTCTGATTTTAAGCCATGCAGTATCCCCTTGTTCTTCTCCAAAAAACACGTCTTGGCTCAGTTGTAGGTTCTGCATTAACACAATTAAGTGTTCTGAGATTTTCAATCTTCAAAATATTACCCATATTTTATTATCATCCACACAAATGACTTGTTGTTTGTATTATGTGCCATCAAGTAGCCTGTGATTCAGTGACCCTGTGCACAATATCTCCGAACCCTGCCCTACCTGGGCCAATCTCACAGCCTCCAATATGCCTAATCCCATTACCCCAGTTATGGTGTGAATCCATCTTATCTGGGTTCTTCCTCTCTTGCACTGAGCCTCCAACCTTCTAAGCATGATGTCATTTTTCAATGGCATGCCTAACGTATGTGAGATGGAGCTTCAAAATGCATGCCTTTAAGTAGTAACCTGGTTTCACCCTTTCCAAGGACAGACCTATCTTTTTGCTTGGCGGTCCATGGAATGTTCAATACTCTTTTCTAGCACCACAACTGAAAGGCATTGATTATTCTTCTGTCATCCTTAATCATTCTCCAACTCTATTGGCAAGTAAGTGCAAAGACCATAGTTTGAGTCAGAAACACTTTAGTCTCTAGAATGCCACTGTTACTCTTCAGCACTCTTGAGAAGTCTCTGACAGCAGATTTCTAATGTAATTTTCTTGTGATATCCTGACTGCTGGAGCCAAGAGTGTTGATTGTGGATAGTTAATAAAATATAAGTACACATCTTTCTGTTATTCTCAGCTTTCAGTCAAAATACATTTGACCTTCAACAATGATATTCCTTAGCCATAGCCTCCTATGAACACAACTTGAATTTCTGGCAGGTCCCTGAATATACTGATTTTGATATTTTTGAACACTCATCAGGAATATTTTATTAATAAATGGCATTATTGAGATTGTCATTAATGTTAAACTGAAGCTGAAGAAAATTAAATAAGTCCAAGGGATTCAGAATTATGACCCTCAGTTTGTCCCACTTCAACTTATAAACCACTAAGACTAATCACTGGAGACTAGACTACTTATGCGATGACATTAAAGATGTTAATATACGAAGAAAGCAACAGATTATTAAGAAAATGGTGAATAAATAAAAAACTTTGCAAAAGGCATGTCAGAAGAGACTCTGAAACTTGCTCTTGAATGTAGAAACTATACAATAAATGATGAAATAAGATATTTGAACACGCATCAAAGGCATTTCAAGAAGACAACAGAAAGTATAACAAAAGGTGCAAATAAATGGAGTTAGAAAACCAAGGGGAAGATCATGCTCAGCATTTTTCAAGATGGAACAAGAACTGAAGTAAAAGGTCAGACTTCAAGTGGCAATACTGAAGGATTCTCTGGGGGACATATTCAATGATGTAGGAAGTATCATAGGGAGATGGAAGGATATGAGAACCAAAACAAACCATACCAAAAAGAGCTGATCGACATGGATTCATTTCAAGAAGTGTTGGGTGATCAAAAACCAGTACTAAAAGAACTCAAAGTGGCCATAAAGCCATTAACAGAAAAAAATAATAAATTAAAAATAAAAATTCTAGAGCTAATTTTCCCCTTAAACAAATAACAGAGAAAATAAGAAAGATAGGATAGTCTCAAATTCTTAAATAAAAAGATTGACTGTAGTCATAACCTAGTGAAGTACTATTACCTTTATCTTTAGAAAGGGTAAATAGATAGGCACAATATGCTTGAGTATGTCTGAGTTTTTCCATAATAAAGTTAAAAATTAAGTAGCAAAGATACATTGCTTTACACACATAAACTCTTTAAGTAAAATAACAACAATGCATTAAACAATTCCTATCAAGTAAAATACAGTATAGTCCAAAAAGTACCTTGGCAATAGCTGTTTGTTTAAACATGCGAGTAATCAATCCCATAACTTGAAAAGAGTCGTTCCCAGTTTCGATATCCCTTGAATTTGAAACTCTCATTAATCTCTCCCATTCTTCAAAACTGCTATTCATTTCCTATATGGGGGTAAAAATAACCAGATTCACAAATACAGGGCATAAAGAAAAGAACACTTAACGCAACATTAAATTATGTCCTACATTTTCTATCTGTTGATACTTAACAATAGGAAGAGGAAATTCACGAAGATGTCAGATCAATTTTACTTTAGAAATAACATTTTTTTAAAAAGTCAACAAGAAAAGATGAAAAAAAATTCTCAAAGTTGCCAACATGTTTATTTAAAATCATCAGTGCAGAGGCTAAGCCAATCACATGTTCATGTTAATGACGGAAACCAATGATGAAACTATGAGTATAAACCAAGCCCCTTTTGATAACAAGAATCAAACAAATAGAGCTTCCTCTTAAAGAGAAACATCTGGGCAGAAAAACCATGCTAAATATATAAGAAAGCAGGTTGGTGGAAATGTAAATGAATGAAATATATATGTGTTTTTTTTTAATTTTTATTTTATTATTTGTGTGTGTGTGTACTGTCAAATCAGATCTGACTAGTACAGGAGAAGACTGTCCCTCCTTCCCTGGGAGTGCATCTGGTGGATTCGAACAGGGATTGTAGTGCAGCTTCTTGCCACTAGGTCACCAGAGCTCTCCAAGAAATATATTTTTATAAAAAGATAAGAATTTTTTAATACAGGTAAAAGCCTGAGGAATATTATTGTTGTTAGATTCTATCATCAAGATGAGAAAGACTCATAGTGACCCTATATAAAGTAGATCTTAACCATATCCTGTCCTGTGCCATCCTCACACTTCCTGACACACTAGAGCCCATTGTGGCAGTCACTGTGTCAATCCACCTGATTGAAAATCTTCTTCTCTTTCACTGACCCTTAACCTTTCCAAGCATTATGTCCCGTTCCAAGAAATAGCCTCTCCTAGCAACATGCCCAAAGTATGTAAGATGAAGCTTTGCCATCTTTTCCTCCAAGGAGCATTCTGGTGGCACTTTCAAGAAATATGTTTGTTCTTTTGGTGTCAATGGGATATTAGCTAAATAAAATTATTGCCATTTTATATCATAATAATATATATTTATATAAAATAATATTTAGATAATAAAAATGATCATTTATTGCCTTTTCATTTTCTTTTTCTTTCTACCCGAGGCACCTTTTCCACTTCGGGAGCTGAAGGCTTTAGAAGAGTGTCTTTCTTCTTTAGTACATGTTATTTTCTGTCTCTGCTGTTAGTTTAGAGAGCTCTGGTGGCCTAGCTTCTAGGGAATTGTGCTGCTAGCTCAAAAGATACACCTTTCTGCTGGCTCCGATCCACACGCAGCCAGTGGTCCCATGTGATTTATAGCTCTGAAAAGCTGATGGAAGGTCAGCTATGAGTTAGTTATAATTATTTAAATAGGCTGTTCTTGATCGTACATTAATGCCGGCTCTTAAAGAACTAGTAACCACTTAACAACAATAACATCAACATAGAGAGAGATTAGCTGGCCTAGTGGACAGAAAGTGATGCTACCAAGTCAAAGGTGGATGACTTTTAATCTGCGGCCCTCAGGCCTGTCTTTCATTGTTTTTGTTCAGACATTCCTCTAGGTCGTATACCCCTGATGTACAAGTTGCCGTACAGCAGTAACTTGCGGTTATTGTGAGGCTGAACACTGTGACACTGATGTGTCAAATGCGTTAAATGGTCGGTTACCCAATGTGGACAGAAAGTGGGGTGGAGCTCCTTGATTAAAACAAGCTTGGAAGGAGGAGTGGCATCCACTCCCATAATAGCTTGCCTCCGGAAACCCTATGAACCTTGAGAGAGGATGAAAGACACCCAAGCGTTGAGGACTCTCCTTCATAGGGTCACTATGAGTTGCCTGCGACTCTACGGCACTTAACAACGATAAAGCAGTATATCCAGAAAACCTGATCATTCTAAGTTTAGAAATAATGTATTGCTCAATGTTCACAGAACATTGCTTACAAAGTTGGAAGCTTTTGACATACGGCAATGCAACAACTTTGAAAAACCATGTCCAAATCTGAAGAAATTAAAAAAAAAACCAACACAAAAAAAGTCTCTCTAAAAGTAAATGCAACATAAGAACTAAGTAAAACACAGGTTTAGCTTCCTGATACAATGACTTTCACATCTTATAACACGATCAGAGAATATGCTGTGATTATTCTAGGAAATAACTATTTCACACTTTTAAAAAATCTGAGCAAAACAACAAAACTTTCTTCGTAATATCACAAATGATACAGATTTCACATTCCTAATTATTCTCTCATTGCTGAGTTGGAATGGACTTCTGTTGTTGTTGTTATGCGCCCTTGAGTCACTTGCGACTCATAGCGACCCTATATACAATAGCCCTAAACTCTGCTCTGTCCTGTGTCAATCGCACTGTCTCTGACACTCCTATCCCAATTACCCCCATCACTGAATCAATCCACCTCATAGAGGGCCTTCCCCTCCTGCGCTGTCCCTCCACCTTACCAAGCATAATGTCTTTCTCCAAGGACCGGTATCTCCTCACAACATGTCCAAAGTATATTAGACAGAGCCTAAGAATCCTTGCCCCCAAGGAGCCACCCGGTTTAACCCTTTCCAGGATGAATCTGTTTGTTTTCCTAGCAGTCATGGTACCCTCAATACTGTTCTCCAGCACCACAGCTCAAAGGCATCAATTCTCCTTTTATCCTCCTTGGTCATTGTCCAACTCTCTGATGCATAACAAGAGACTGCAAAGACCATGTCCTGTATCAGACACACCTTAGTCTCCAGAGAGACACCATTGCTCTCCAGTACTTTGGAGAGGTCCCTAACAGCAGACTTTCCCATCGTGATACACCTTTTAATTTCCTGGCTACTGATGCCAAGAAGGTTGACTGTGGAGCCAAGCAAACTAAAGCTGTGAACAATCTCAATCTCTTCACCATCCATCCTGATGCTGCCAATTGGCCCAGTGGTGAGAATCTTTGTCTTCTTGATATTGAGCCTCAATCCATATTGGAGGCTGCAGTCCTTGACCCTCTGCAGCAAGCGCTTCAGGTTCTCCTCAGTTTCAGCAAGCAGGGTTGTGTCATCTGCATAACGCAGACTGTTGATAGATCTTCCACCAATCTTGAGCCCACATTCCTCCTCAAAGAGCCCAGCCTCCCGGATAATCTGTTCTGCATACAGGTTGAAAAGGTATGGAGACAGGACACATCCTTGGTGTATGTTCTTCCCAATTTTGAACCATGCAGTGTTTCCTTGCTCTGTTCTGACAACTGACTCTTGGTCCAAGTATAGGTTTCTCATTAGCACAATCAAGTGTTCTGGGAATCCCATTCTTCTCAGAGTCAGCCACAGTTTGTTATGATCCACACAGTCAAACGCCTTTGCATAGTCAATGAAACACAGATATACATTCCTCTGGTATTCCCTGCTTTCAGCTAAGATCCATCTAACATTAGCTACAAGATCCCTAGTACCACGACCCCTTCTAAACCCAGCCTGGATTTCAGGTAGTTCTCTGCTGATATGCTGTTCGAGTCATTTTTGGATAATCTTCAGTAGAATCTTGCTTGCATGTGAAATCAATGATATTGTTTTATAGTTTCCACACTCTGTTGGGTCACCTTTCTTTGGGATGGGAACAAATATAGATTTCTGGTCCCATATTGGGCTTTCAGAAAGACTAAATCACACAGGAGAGATTGCCCCTCTTTCTTTCACAGAGCAGTTTGTTCTTTTGAACTACCTGCCTTTGGGATGGTGGCAGAACTCATTAGGATACCAGGGCATTTTTAACACTAAATTTATATATTCCTTACTGCTATTTCACTGCTTCTCCAATATTCAGCAGAAATAGTTTTTTACCACTAGGATACTGTACCCTTTCATACATTTGAGGACAAAAATGAAATTCTTCTTGCTCTCTTCTTGAAATGATACCTAGAAACCAATTTATATGCTCTATTAATCAAGCCTATTTTAAGATAGTAGACTTTTCCTTCTGTGGAATATTGGAATACAAACAATCTTGAGGATATAACTTAAAGTTATTTTAAATATGACTAAGAATCTATCTATACCAGATCATGGCCTGAGTCAGGTACACCTTAGTCCTCAAACTGATACCATTGCACCTCACTAATGATGGAGAATAATGTTGGAGAAGGTGCAGCCAAAGAGTTTCTTTGAAGCAAACATGATAAAGCTTCATCTTATATACTTTAGCATGTTGGTAAGACAGGCTTTTCCTTGGAGAGGGACATTATGCTGGAAAGGTGGAGAAACAGCAAAAGAGAGGCAGATGATCAACAAGGTGGATTGACATAGTGACTGCAGCAATAGGCTTGAGTGTGTCAGAGATTGTGCGGATGGCTTAGAATAGGACATCTTCCATCTCTGTTGCTCAAAGAGTCAATATGAGTCCCTCTTGACTTGATGGCATCTAACAACAACAATAAGGATCTGTACTTGCAACCTGAAGTCACACGGTTCAAATTTACTACTTTCTACATGGAAGGATGGTTGATCTTCTCCCATGTGATTAATTGCCTCTGCAAACCTGCTGAAGGGTCAGCTGTGGGTCAATTCTGACTTGATGGCACACAACAATAGCATAATAAGTACAAATCAAACAAAGGTTCTCACCTTGGCTGCTGTTGCTGGAAGATCAAATGAAATGCGCTGTCTAATTTTAGGAGGTAGCTGGGTTAAAACTTCATTCTTTAATCTTCTAATCATTATATCACTTAGTAGCTGATGAAGTTCATTAAGATTTGATGCCCCTCTACAATCCCATTGTGGTCTTCTACCAAAATATCTGTAAGAACAGAAGAAAAACATGTAGCTAAGCAAAATGGTGGAACAAGAACATAATTTATCTTTATTTAGGACTTTTTGGGTACATTTTACCAATAATAATATATACGTCTAACAATGTTGCAGCATGTAATTGGCTGATACTAACATTCTTAGATTTCAATAGCAGTTATTAATGTGTAATATTTCCAACCCACTAAGACAAGACCAAAATTATAATGACAGTAGTATTAAAAAGCTACAATAATGGAAACTTTAAAAATAATAAATGTAAAATAAATAAATAAAAACAGGATCTGACTTATATTGGAACCGATTAACAATGGTTTACAGAACAGACTCATAATGAATTAGGAACTTCCTTTTAAATGTCAGGAGCCATAGGCAGTATTTTCACTATCATTTCTTATGTTTTTTAAAAATTAATTTTATTTTAAAAAATTTTATACTAGTTTATTTACAAAACTTGAATACATTGTTTTTGAGAATATAGACTTCCAATTTTCCTCACCACCCCACCCATCAACTTGTACAATCCCATGATTAATCCTCCCCTCTCCCTGCACATCCTCATCCTTCTCCCATCCCTCTTGGATCCTTATACTCATTCTACAATAATGGTTTTATACAATATTTGTCCTTGTGGGACTGAGTTAGTTCATGTTGCATAATGCTCTCCAGTCCCTCCCAAGTTAGGTAATAACTTATAAAATCATTATTCCTGCATGAAGTATTCCATTGTGTGAATGTACCATAAGACTATATAACATTTATCAATTATAAAAAAAGTATCTAAGCATATGTAAGAAAAATATGGCTGAAAAACATTATAAAACAACCACAAGTACATAGACAGAGAACTGCCAGAAGCTCAAGCTGGATTTAAAAGAGGCTGTGGCTCCAGGGATATCACTGTCAGATGGATCCTGGCTGAAAGCAAAGAATACCAGAAGAATGCGTATTTGTATTTTATTGATTCTGCAAAGCCATTTTCCTCTTGGTGAGGGTGTAGCCAGAGTGCTCTTTAGAGGCAAGGATGATGAGGCTTTGACTTATATACTTTGGGTATGTTGCTAGGAGGGGCTATTACTTGGAGAGGGACATGATGCTGGGAAGGGGGAGGGTTTGAGAAAGAGAGGAAGACCCTCAACCAGGTAGACTGACATGGTGACTGCTACATTGGGCTTTTGTGTGTCAGGGAGTGTGAGGATAGCACAGGATAGAACAGGGTTCAGATCTTTTGTTCATAGGGTTGCTTATGAGTCATACTCCACTTGATGCCACCTAACAACAACAACAAAGGCATTTGACTGTGTGGATCATAACAAACTACAGGTGACACTGAGAAGAATGGGAATCCCAGAGCACTTAACTGTGCTCATACAAAATTTATACCTAGACCAAGAGGCTGTTGTGCCAACAGAGTAAGGGAACATGCAATGGTTTAAAATTAGGAAAGGTGTGTGCTAGGATTGTAACCATTCTGTATACCTATCCAATCTATATGCTGAGTAAATGATTTGAGAATCTGGACTCTATGAAGAAGAATGTGACACCAGAATCAGAGAAAGACTCATCAACAATCTGCATTAGGCTGATAATACAACTTTGCTGGAAGCAAATAGGAATTGAGGCACTTGCTTAATAAGATTACACAGATTGCATCTCAACATTAAGCAAACAAAAATTATTACCACTGGACCAGTTATGATAAATAGAGAAAAGACTGAAACTATCAATGACTTCATCTTGGTACAAGTAGTCAGGAGATCCTGAGACATTACTGAGGTGCATGGTGTTAGGTTGTTGATGTTAGAGTAAGATCTGAATCTAGCCATTGTCTTTTTAATCTCTTGCTATGCTTCTGAGAGTTGGACAATGAATAAGGAGGACAGAAGAAGAACTGATGTCTTTGAACTGTGATGCCGGAAAAAGTACTGAATATTCCATACACTTCAAAAAGAAAAAACAGCTATGTCTTGGATAAGATGCAGCCAGAGGGTTGCTGGGAGGCAAAGATGACAAAGCTTCACCTCACATACTTAGAGCATGTGGTTAGGAGAGGCTATTATTGGAGAGGGGAATCATGCTTAAAAAGATGGAGGGATGGCAAAAGAGAGAAAGACCCTCAATTAGACGCACTAACACAGAAACTACAGCAATAGGCTCAAGTGTGTCAGAGACTGTGAAGAAGGCACAGGGTAGGACAGGGGTCATATCTCTTGTTCATGATCGCTATAAGTCATACTTGACTTGATGGCACCTAACAGCAACAAGTATATGTAAAAGGCTGAGATAAAGTGAGGCTGCCTATATGCATTAGTTTGCTGACAAGCACCAGAAAGTTGACCTTTTCCAGTACAATGTCTTTTTCCAAGGACTAACCCCTCCTAATAATACATGTTGCTGTTGTTGTTTTGTGCCATCAAATCACCTGTGACTCATTGCAACCCAATGTACATTAGCTCTGAAACCTGCCCTATCCTGAGCCAAACTCATTGTCTCCGACAGACCTGATCCCATTTCTCGAGTTACTGAATCATTCTATCTCATCCTTGGTCTTCCTCTCCTGAGCTGTTTCTCTACCCTTCCAAGCATGATATTCCTCTCCAAGGACTGGTCCCTTGGGGCACATGCCCAAAGTATGAGATGGAGGCGCAAAATTCTTGGCTCTAGGGAGCAGTCTGGTTTCACACTCTCCAAGATAGGCCTGTTTGTTCTCCTTGCAGTCCATGGAATGTTCAACACACTTCTCCAGCACCACAGCACAAAACCACCTATCCTTCTTCTGTCATTCTTAGTTATTGTTTAGTTCTCAGATGCATAGCAAGTAACTGCAAAGATCTTAGCCTAGATCAGGCACACCTTAGTCTTCAGTCTGACATGTTTGCTCTTTAGTACTCTAGAGAGGTCCTTGACAACATTTCCCCCATTGCAGTTTGTCTTCTGATTTCCTGACTGCTGGTGCCAACGGTGTTGATTGTGGAACCAAGAAGGCTGAAGTTATCCACAATCTCAATTTCTTCTCCGTACATCATGAAGTTACTAATTGCAACAGTGGTGAGAATCTTTGTTTTCTCAATGCTGAGCTTCAATCCATATTGAAGACTATAGTACTTAAACTTCTGCAGCAAACACCTCATGTCCTCCTTAGTTGTGTCATCTGCATAACGCAGGTTGTTGATGAGTCTTAGTTTAGTTTTTTCTAAAAACGGGCTCCACTAAGTGGGATCATGTATGGAAGTAGTTTAACTGATCTAATCTATAGACCTTAACCACAAATACACTAGTCAATGGCTCTAACAACCAAAAAAAAAATCTCAAACATTTTCAAACAACCTCTGTTAAACATTCTCTCCAATTGTGTTATTAAGCATGCCACAGTATTTTCAACTGCTTCATATACATATGAAAGTTGGACAATGAATAAGGAAGACCAAAGAACTGATGTCTTCGAATAGTGGTGCTTGTGAAGAATATGAACTATATCATGAACTGCCAAAAGAACAAACAAATCTCTTTTGGAAGAAGTTAAGCCAGCGTTCCTTAGAAGAAAGGATTGTGAGACTTCATCTCACTCTCTTTGGGCATCAGGAACAGCTAGCTAGTCTCTGAAAAATGACATCACAGGAAAAGTAGAGGGTCACTGCCATGTAGGGAGACCCTAATGAGATGGAATGATTTACTGGCTAGAGTGATGGGTTAAGCACAGCAGAAGTTGTGAGGAGCGCACATTGTCTAGACTTCACAGCCCCCAAAAGCAGTAAGAAAGGCCCTAACAGCCAGCACACAAAGTGGTTGTAGCAACCAGAAACACTGCAAACATTTTCCAACACCCTATGGTAAGGTTATCACTAATCATACTCCTAAACATAGCAGCTTGATCACAAAATCTTTCTGCCTCCCTTGAAACAACCAGATCATCAGCAAACATAGGAATAATAACACAATAAAATGAGAAAGATAGTGCAGACTGTGGATCCAAGTGAGATGAAGTTGTTGACAGTTTCAATCTTTATTTATCACAATGTTGCCTATCAGTCCAGTGGTAAGAATTTTTGTTTACTTGACATTGAGATACAAACCATACTGAAGGCTGGGTATTCTTTGATCTTCTGCAACAAGTGTTTCAAGTCCTCTTCATTTTCAATAAGGAGGTTGTGTTATAGAATCACTATGTTGTGGTGGTGTTGTTGTGTACCACTGAGTCGGAACTAAATCACAGCTGACCTGCCAGTGGGTTTTCAGAGGCAGTTAATCACATGCAAGGAGACTGCCCATACTTCTTCCATAGAGCAGCTGATGGATTTGAATCTTGTGCCTTTGGATTTCAGCACAGCTTCTTAGAATCACTAAGAGGCAGAGTCAAGTTGATGGCACATAATAACAGTATCACCATGACAACCAGAAAACTACTCCACAAAATTCTCAATCACTTTTAGAGGTCATACTAAACACTATTAAAAACTGCTGTTACAGAATACTTAACAAAGCAAAATTTCTTTTAGGGTGTGTTATGTTAAAAACTATTCATTTTACAGGAATTCTGATGATGTTTTAGCACATACTGAGGGCTGTGCATCAATTTGGAAAACTGAGAATGTGTCAGCAATTTTTTTTTCAGTTTAATGTATGTTGACAACAACCTCAAAAGAACAACATAAGATTCAGATAACCTTAAAAATACATACTTGCCTGTAGATGCAACTGGGAAAGGACAGTGAGTAGGTGGAATCTACCATATGCTACAGCATTATTTAGTTGTTGTAAATTAAAAAAAACCAAAAAAAAAAAAACCCCCAACCTTCTTTTTTAAAAAAAGAAATCCAAACAACAAACTGAAAGGGTAACTTAAGGACTAGGAGAAAACTTCCGAAGACCACATTATCAGTTAAGTATTTAATAAAGAACTCCTACAATCAAACAGCAATATATAGAAAAAAATGGTCAAAGGATTTGAATAGACCTTTCACCAAAGATATACAATTGGCCAAAAAACAC